AGCGGAGCTGTGTGGCTATGCTACCTATGTGTTCTGTGCATGCTTGGGTTAGGCTGCCTGGCTGGTGGCTCGTGGGCCATTTGGGCCTGGTGGCTGGCTGGGAAGTAGCATGTTATCCAGGTAATATCCGGATATTTAACCGGGTAATATCCACATATTTTACCGGATAATCCATATCCATCGGATACCACCCTCCCTAACTCGATACATATCCGAAAGAAAATACCTGTATTCGATGCTATTGTGTTTTCGAAAGTTGATTTGCGTAGTCGATGCCACCAAATTCACATGAAACTAGGGGATGAATGGAAAACTGCTTTCAAAACCAAGTTCAGGTGATATGAGTGGTTAGTCATGCCTTTTGGGTTAACTAATGCACCTAGTACTTTCATAAGATTAACAAATGAGGTTTTGCGTGCTTTCATTGGGAAATTTGTGGTGGTATACTTTGATGATTTATTGATTTACAACAAGTCTATGGGTGAACATCTTCATCATTTACGTGATGTTTTTAATACTCTTCGTGATGCACGTTTATTTGGTAACCTTGAGAAGTGCACCTTTTGCACAGATCGAGTTTCTTTGCTTGTCTATGTTGTCACTTTGCAGGGGATTGAGGTTGATCAAGCCAAGGTGGAAGCCATACAAGAATGCCCTGTTCCAATAACTATCACACAAGTGCGAAGTTTTTTTAGGCCTTGCTAGATCTTACCATTGCTTTGTGAAGGATTTCAGCACCATTGTTGCGCCATTGAATGAGCTTACTAAGAAGGTGTTGGCGGCTGTTAAATGCCAATTTTATACCACCAATACATGCATAAAACATAGATTATAAAACATCCAACGTAGTGGTAGGGTTTAATTCTGACATTTTCCAACAGTGTTGGTGTATATTTGAATGTAGGTAATAAACCGCCAAAGTTGGGAGGAAACTTAGACCAAAGAGGAGGAGAATTCTATCTATACAAGAATTTGACTCATAAGAGTTTACTACTTGTTATGAACGGTTTACTACTTGTTATAATTGGACTCATAACAAGAATTGGACTCTCAACACAGACTGTAGGATCGAGATGTCGACTAGAGGAGGGTGAATAGGCGATTAAAAATTAAATGACACCTAATCAAAACTAACCTAAGTTGCTAGGCTCGGTGAGGGACACGACTAAGTAAGCAACTAAGTTATGTTTTGCAATCCTAGGGTGAAAGTGGCTCAAGTATATCACTAGGAAAGTAAATCACACTCCTATGTCAATGTTTAGCAATCCTAGGGTGATATGATCTCAAGTATGTCTCTAGAAATGTAAATTGCACAAATGTAAATCCGACAATCAAAAGAGACAATGAGACAAGAGATTTTTCACCGAGGTTCGGAAACTCGCCGGTTTCCTACTCCCCGTTGAGGCGAGCCCAACTCCACCGCTCAACCACGAAGCCACCGCACACCCCCTTCGTCAAGGGGTGGGCAAGGCCGGAGCCGGCCCACGGAGAGGACTACCCAAGCCTCGATCACTCGGGGTAGTTCTTCCTTCACTCCGAAGGTAGTGAACTCCAAACCACTCACAAACCAGCGCCGGGCCTCCTCCACAATCTTCTCGGAGAGGTCACCGGGTAACTCCTCCACAAGCCGTCTAGGAGGCGGCAACCTCCAAGAGTAACAAGCAATGAACCGGCGTGGAGATGATCAATCAAGTGCCACACTAGCTCTACAATGGAAGCAAATGCACTTGACACTTGGCTAGAACAACCTCAACCACTATAATGGATGAACACTAAGCTCAAAGATGTGTGAGAGAGGTGCAAGGGGTGTATGCAATTGAATTGGGTGCCAAGAGAGTCCCCTTGCTGCTGGTGGGGGAGTATTTATACTCGCCGTTGGGGGCGAAATCCCCCAACTCAGTGCTCTGCCGGTCTGACCGGAGGTATGTGGCCGGTCAGACCGTGCTACTCTACAACGGCTAGTTGCTGTCATTGGGCCCCACAGCCGTGGCCGGTCAGACCAACATGGGGTGGCCGATCAGACCGGCCTCGGCTCAGTCAGACCACCATCAGCTCGGTCTAACCGAATACGGCTCTGGCGGCTCGGGATCGGCACACCGAGACGGCACCATCCTAGCCATATGGCCGGCCGGTCAGACCGGCCCGCACCCGCCGGTCAGACCGGCCTTGAGGTGGCGGTCAGACCGGCCTAGACCCTGCGGTCAGACCGGCTGCCCTGGCCAGTCAGACTGGCACTTGAGCCGCGGTCAGACCGGCCCTGGTCAGGCCGAAAACAGTGAGATAAAAGTTTGTGTGTGTGTGTGATGAAATGAGAGCACAAGTCTAAATGCATAATGACCTAATGTGGCAATTAAAATCATCTCTTTGCTAGGTCATTAACCCTCTTAATAGTTCGGCAAAACTATAAATAAACTAGCACAATTTTGATCGCCCAACGCCTCGATCAATTTAGAAAAGAAAACACTAGTTTACTGTCTTCTCTTCCTTTAGCTTTGTGCCGTCAATTTTAATCCATAGGTAGACATCCATGCGCACACATAATGTGAACCTAACTTAAAGATATAGCTCAAAAGAACGGTTAGTCCACAATTAGCGCTTGTCATTAATTACCAAAATTAACACCGGGGGCCTAGATGCTTCACACACCTTTATATGCATCGTTTGGGGATGACAAGTAGTAGAAAACAAAAGCTTAGTCCCCAATTTAGCCCACAAAGTTCTCCAAAAATGGCTATGAAATTTAGTGTCACGATCAGAAACAATTGTGTTTGGCACACGATGCAAGCGAACAATTTCTCAAAAGAACAAATATGTAATATGGGTAGCATCATTAGTCTTATGACATGGTATGAAGTGTGCCATTTTAGAAAATCTATCCACAACCACAAAAATGCTATCACGCCCCCTCTTGGTCCTAGGCAATCCCAACACAAAATCCATTGAAATATCTTCCCAATGAACACTAGGAACAGGGAGAGGCATATACAAACCATGTGGATTTAAACGTGACTTAGCTTTTTTGACATGTAGTGCAGCGAGCAACGAATCTCTCCACGTTTTTTCTCATCTTAGGGCAAAAGAAATAACCAGCAAGGATGTCCTCCGTCCTGTTGGCACCAAAATGCCCCATCAAACCACCTCCATGGGCTTCCTGCAACAACAATAAGCGAACAGAGCTAGCTAGAATGCATAGCTTGTTAGCTCTAAAAACAAACCCATCATTGAAGACAAATTTGTCCCTGTCTTTCCATCCTTACAATATAGCAACACATCTTTAAAATCAGCATCATGCATATATTGGTCTTTAACTGTTTCTAGCCCAAAAATTTTTTAGTCAAGTTGTGTCAAAAAAAGTATATCTCTACTAGACAATGCATCAGCAATGATATTTTCCTTCCTTTCTTGTGCTTGATAACAAAGGAAAAGATTCAATAAATTCAACCCATTTAGCATGTCTACAGTTCAGTTTTCCTTGACTACAAATATGCTTCAAAGATTCATGATCAGAATGCATGGCAAATTCCTTGGGCCACAAATAATGCTGTTGTGTTTTCAAAGTTTGCACAAGAGTATACAATTCATTATCATAAGTAGAATAATTCAGAACAGACCCACTCAATTTTTCACTAAAATATGCAACAGGTTTTCCTTCTTGTAGCAAAACACCACCCAATCCAAATCCCACTAGCATCACATTCAAGTTCAAAAAGTCTTATTAAAATCAGGAAGTTGGAGGAGAGGTGCATGCGTCAACTTATCTTTCAACATGTGGAAGGCGTTCTCTTGTGATGTGCCCCAAGTGAAAGGCACTCTCTTCTTTGTAAGCTCATTCAATGGTGCAGCAATGGTACTGAAATCCCACACAAAATGGTGATAAAACCCTGCGAGTCCTAGAAAGCTCCGCACCTGTGAGACCGTTTTAGGAGTCGGCCAACTCTGAATTGCCTCAACCTCAATCCCCTGTGGAGTAACAACATAACCAAGAAACGAGACTCGATTGGTGCAAAAACTGCACTTCTCAAGGTTACCAAACAAACGTGCATCATGCAAAGCATTAAAAACATCACGTAAATGATCAAGATGGTCATCTAAAGATTTGCTATAAATTAGAATATCATCAAAGTATAGACCACCATAAATTTTCCAATGAAAGGACGCAAAACCTCATTCATCAACCTCATGAAAGTGCTAGGTGCATTAGTTAAACCAAAATGCATCGTTAACCACTCATATAACCCAAACTTTGTTTTAAATGTTGTTTTCCATTCATCTCCCAACTTCATACGAATCTGGTGGTAACCACTACGCAAATCAACTTTAGAGAAAACAGTAGAGCCAATCAATTCATCAAGCATATCATCTGACCTAGGAATAGGATGGCGATATCTAATGGTAATGTTATTAATAGCTCTACAATCAACATACAAACGCCATGATGCATCTTTCTTTGGTACCAAAATCACTGAAATAACACATGGACTAAGAGACTCGCGTACGTACCATTTATCAAGCAATTCTTGAACTTGACGCTAAATCTCCTTTGTTTCCTCAGAGTTGGTTCAGTATGGCGCACAGTTGGGTAGTGAAGCTCCTTGAATCAAGTCGATCTTATGCTCAATTCTACGCACCGGTGGCAGCCCCGGTGGTACGTCCTTGGGAAACACATCCTCATACTCCTACAAAAAGTTAGTGACCACAGGAGGAAAAGAGATAGCATATTCTCAAAAGAAAACAAGGCCTCTTTGCAAATGAGAGCATAGCAAACAGTGTCACTTGTATCCAAATTTTGAGTATTATTAACTCAAATTTTAAACCACATATACCATTATCTCTACTACTTAAAAAATCTATAGTAGTGGTCTTGATTCCTGACGTAGCAGAGACACTAGACAGACACGCGCAGTCACAACCATCGAATCGCCAGATCCAACGGCGTGGATCATCCATCGCCCATTCGCCCGATGCTGTGAGTTTTCTTTCTCGCTAAACCGCTCCCGATCCCCTTCCTCCCACTCTCCCGCGCCGCCGAACCACCCTCACCACCCACCGCAGCCGCGTCCTCCTCCTCCCCACCGCCGCCGCATCATCCCCCTCCCCACCGCCTCCGCATCCTCCTCCCCATCTCCTGTCGCGTCGTCCTTCGCCACGACGATCCCCTCTCTCCGTGCATCCATCGATCCCGCGGCGACCACCGTTATCGTCAGTCCCTCCTCCACGCCCCCAACACCGATCGCGCCGTCCTATCTACTGTCGTCGCGTCCTCCTCCTTCTCCGGTCCTCCCCATCAACCGCCGCTGACGCCCCTGCCTCTGAGTCCACTCTAGATCCGCCGACGCCTACTCCTCTGCCCACACGCAACCACCGCCCCCGCCGCCGAGTGTCCTCCCCAGCGCTCCCTCCCTACTCCCTGGCGCATCCTCCCGGCGGTCTCTCCTTCGGGCACCCCTCCTCCCCGGCAGCCCTCTGGACGTCGAGGGGGGCAGTGGCGGCCGAGCAAGGATTGCCCTGGGGGGACGACGAGTCCCTGCTCCTTGGCATGGCATCAGCCTCATCCAGCCCGGCGACCTCTCCTTTGGGCGCCCCTCCTCCCTGGCGGCCCTCTGGATGTCGAGGGGGAAGTGGCGGCCAAGCAAGGATTGGGACGATGAGTCCCTGCTACTCGACCTGGCATCAGCCTCATCCAGCCCGGCCTCCATCACTGTGCCTCTCTCTTCTCAGATCCACTGTAGCCGGAGTCATCCTCCATCGCGCCTCTGTGCTTTTGCTCACCGGCGCCGCCTACCAGCATTACATCTCTGAACTCTCACCCTCTCCATCGAGAGTTTGCACAAGGTACACGTAGGCCTGATAACAGCTTGCTCACTTAAGTCTGTTTATGTCTTTTTTCTTTACAATTTTGCATCATTACTTTGCCTTTCCATCTTCCATATATTCCTTAAGAGTTACGACTGTGTGTATTTCAGCCTTTATAAACATATTCAATCACCTAGCAATTTGGTTGTGGGAGATGACTTGCATTGCATAATGGAGGTAAATGGACCATCAGCTGTGGTAAATGAAAATCCAACACAATGTAATTCCATACAGGGCACTATTTGAATCGCTTATCTGGACAACTATCTTTTATACAAAGTCGTCCCCAATTCTTTACCAGAAATCTTATGTTTAGTTATTGGCAATAATTGGTGAATAATTGATGAAATATGTGGTACAGTTAATGTGCGTGGCATGCAGGAAAGAATAGCCATCGATCTGGACTAAAAATGTTGCCACCATCTGGAATTAAAATACTGCCAATGAAGTTGCTCAGTAATATTCCCAGGGTATGTGCCCTGCAGACAATAACCATGCATTTTTTTTTCAATATACTAGATTCAAGCTATCACATATCATTGTTGTCGCCTGTCAAACAAGTATGATAATGTCATGATCTGGCTCTGAAATATCTTGAGTACTGTTTGAAGGTAAATATTCCTGAAAGGATTATAGTAATATGTGGGGCACTTTGCTTAAATTTCTAAGATACGCCTGTCGTATGGGAAATTTTCATTATTTTGGGTAAGATACCATGTTTTGCTTTATAAATTGCACATCTACTTTTTACCAATGCTTGCAATAAAATTTCAGAAGTTCATCATCTCTTGGTGCTACTTTCCAGCTATTTATATTGCATTATCTCCTTCTGTAGCCTTTTTTATTCGCCGTTATAGCCTTCTATGCCTGCTACAATATATTGCATCATCTAGCAAGGTTTGTTTTAATCCTCTTCATTATTACAAACACTACTAGAAAAATAATTTATCGCCACGAAAAAAATCATAGCATCAATGTTAAAATTGTGGCAATAGATACATGTTGCCACAATCTTCAAATCGTTGCTAGCCGTGGTAATAAATAGCGTGGTAATAGTTTATTGCAATGATTTTTATTTAGTTGTAATAAATTTTGATATTGCCATAAAATGGATGTGGCAAAAAATATATATTGCAACACTTCACATCGTTGCAATAAATAACTATTGCCACCACTCCATGTGTGGCATTAGTTCTACATACCAAATTAAATGTTTCAATATTAATTTATCATCCTAACTATTTTCTTTTGATATCTTGTCATGGCCAGGATTCGAACCAAAGATCTCTCCCTCACGCGCGCTCTCCATGACCAACTCACCTACGCATCAATTTTATTTAAAAATGCATATAATTCTATTTGAGACTGCCTAACGAGATTTGAATCATGAATTTGAGTATCTAAAATATTTCAAATGAAAAATTGAAGTTTTAGATCTCATCGAGAACTATAAATTTCATATAAAATTTGTCCTAATCCGTGTCCATATGAAAAGAATAAGTTAAATTATGAGATAATAAATTTTTTATTACAACGAATTTGTTGATCATGGCAATAGAAAATAGTGAAAAGTACCATGTACTATGCAAATTGCCACAAAAATTAAATGTGTGGCGATAGAACATGTTTTTTTTTGCAATAGTAATGTTTTTTTGTGGTGATAACTTATTTTCTATTACAACAAAAATACTGAATAAAACAACGATCATAAATCGTTGCAGCAAAGTATAGTTATTTGCCACAGAAAAAATATCATTGTGATAGTACAATATATCGCCACGAATTATTTTTTGTTGTAATAAATTGGTGGCGATAGCTAAATTATCTTGTAGTGAAACGGATTCACCTAGATAGGCCAGATAACCTGAACATGATCCCATATTTTTCTTCGTCAGATAAGCAGTGGGAAGCAGTTGGAGGAATTTCTGGATTACAAGGACTCGATTGAATTCATCTTTTATGAGTAGATAGAGTAGTCCTTGAGCATGAGCCTGGCTATTTTTACATTATTTGCACACGATTAAAAAAAGATGGATAAAGAATATGAGGTCCCAATAATTTCTACACAGTTTGATCTGAAATTCGGAATATTCATATCCTGAGACTCAGAGAACCATCAAGCATGTCTACATGTAGGATGTTTTTCTTTGATGCTGTAGTGTCATTTGCTTGTAGTGCTGGAGGGTTATATCTATTGACGTGAACTGTACTTCAAACTTTAGAGAGAATCTAACGTATCAAAGGTAGCCCTGTACAGCTGTACTCCATACATCACTTCAGTGTCTTCCTTGGTTGTTCGCTAGCAGCTGAAAGTGTTGTACTTCTCTGAACGCGCATGCATGTTTTGAGAACGAACATAATAACACTGCAGAGGATTATCTTTTCTAACTGCAAACATGAGCGAGTTGTATCACAGTGGTGTTGTTTGGATGCTTCTGCCGCTCCTCTTCAAAACTTTAGCTGAATTTGTTTCATGCCATTTTGCGGTTTGGAAGATTGTGTTACTTATTATTGTTGTTGGTCTATTTAATTGTATGTTTTGGTGATCAGTGCTCAATATCTCGACCTGCCTAAAACTTTGTTCGTAATCTGAATTTTCGCTCTCCTTTGATTCTCATGTTGTATGTAATTTTAATTTTCCCGTTGCGAATTAAAACCACTTGGCTGGTTGAATAATTTACTCTTTGACTGTATATTTAGTTTTTCAACTAATCACATAGTCGGGGGCTACACCTATTAGTCGATGCACCTAAGTATATATTCCTTATTGTTTTTAATTTTTTTAACCCTTGACAGCCTCATGATTTGGTAAAAGCACTCGGGAGACCATTGTTAAGATGATTGAAGCACTCGGCTTTTGATGATTTAAGTTCGGGAGAAGATTGTCTTTTCGACTATGAAAGTCTCAGAGGCTATTGTGGAGATTATGGTAACATTTACCCACATGGATAGCTTATCCGACTGGAGATAGGATGTGGGCCATATTCGTATATTATGTAAATATACTAGACTTTGGAATATATATTGCGGTGTTTCTCAAGGCATATTCCATAAGTGTTACTAGTATACAATTATGTAAATATATAGAGGATCCGAGTCATGTCCGATTGGGTCTTCTTCCTCGTAACCCTGCCCCCCGACCTATATAAGGTGGGTAGGGAACTCCCTAAGGGCATAACCATAATCAGATTGTCAGATCAATAAAACACTTGACGGATACAATATCTGAAATATTAATAAGGTATTACTTATCGTCAAGAAGGCGTGGACCGTCCCTTTACTCATTCATTTTAGATCTCGTGCGCTACCCTCTTTTCTATTGCCAATTTCATTAAATTTTGATTTATAAGTATAACAATAAGTGAAGAGAGGGGCTACAAAAGGTTTGTCTAGGGAGAAAATTCGATCTATAGCATAGGAAAAAACCGGGTACCAAAAAATAGCACAACAAATTTCTTACTTCGATCAGAAGCACAGGCCACTGGTTTTTCTTCAATTCGTAGCACTCCTGTCTTTGCGATCCAAACATATTAGTTGGGATGAGGAAAGACTAATTTTTCCCTTAGTCCTCTCTATTGAGCCGCCACCCGTCGCCCCGCCGCCTCGCCTCCGCCAGTCGCGCCGCCTCCACCCGTTGCCCCGCTTCTGTCCGTCACCCCGCCTCCGCATGTAAGTCATCGTCCCCGCACTGAGGTAGGGCATGGGGAAGGGACACTAGTACGGGAGGGAGAAGGGAGATGTAGTATGGGTGGAAAAAAAACAGGATGGAAGAAGGTTAGTTGAGGCTAAAATATGGGTCCTATTTGTCATACTTGTAATAGAGATGATAGATGGAGAGGCTGTTGGAGTAACTAAGAGTTTGACTTGCCAAATTAGATGGAGAGTTGGTCAAATAGACATTTGGAGAGTTAGGTTTGGAGAGACTGTTAGGAGATGCTCTTATATTGGATCCTTCGCTCCTCCAATCTCACTCCTAGAGCCTGTTTGGGAGAGTTTTTAGCTGCTGCAGCTTCTCCCAGAATCAGAAGCTCCCCCAAACAGTCCAGCTTTTGGTATAGATTCTGAGAAGCTGTAGTTGTAGAATCCAAAAAATGAACTAGACCCAGCTTTTCCAGACTCACAGAAGCTGGCTTTCAACCAGCCATTTCTTAGAATCTTAGGTGGTGTTTGGATCCAGGGACTACACGTCAGATGTTTGGACACTAATTAGAATTATTAAACGTAGACTAATAATAAAACTAATTGCATAAATGAGAGTTAATTCGCGAGACAAATTTTTTAAGCCTAATTAATCCATAATTAGCACATGTTTACTGTAGCATTACATAGACTAATCATAGATTAATTAGGCTCAATAGATTCGTCTCACGAAGTAGTCCAAGGTTATGGAATGAGTTTTGTTATTAGTGTACATTTAATACTTCTAATGAGTGTCCAAACATGGGACTAAAATTTTAGTCCATTATCCAAACAGCCTCTCAAGCTCCCAAAACAGCCCCTAGTATCGGAGAATGCCCCGGATCGGTCTACCGGCACTCGGCGCACAGGATCGGTCGCTGCCCCAGCGCGCACGTGTCTCTCCCATTGGGCCCCACCACGTGTCCCTGTCTACCTACCACGTGTCTCCACCACATACTCCATTGTAACAAATCACCCATATATTTTGGAACCCTCTATTAAGGGAATTCGTTTCATTTTTTTTTCCACAAAAAATATTTCACTTAGTGTACTCACAATGTTTCACTATGTATAGATCTAATGTTGCAGTGAACGAAACATTCTTTTGCAACAAATCATCCACATATTTTGGAAACCCTATATTAAGTGAATTCGTTTTATTTTTTTTTCACCAAAAATGTTTCACCTAGTGTACTTATAATATTTCACTATGTATGGATCAAATGTTGCAGTGAACTAAAATATTCTTTCGCTATTTGCTGAAATATTATTTTTATATAAGGTGAAACAACACCCGATTTAAACGATTGAAACATTTTCGATCTACTTATGAAACAATTCCGATATACTTGGTGGAACATCATGCAACATTTAAAAATAATTTAATAATAAACTAAAAATTGTTTTCGTCGGAATATATCCATGTGTGGTCTTGTTTTGAAAATTTAATTGTAATGAATTTAATGGTGCAATCAGATTATAATTTTGATAAATAATTTAAAAGAAAAAATAGTTTAAAGTGGTTATGTACGCATGCTGTGACTGAAGTCAGTGCCCAATCGGTAGTCTCCTCCCCCCGAGAAAGTTGCATATCTACCATTGCAAAAGATTGGATTCGCTAGAATACCATCACTTAAGTTGGCTTCAAAAAAATGCCACACTCAACAAAGACGGATTCGCTGAAATATCATCGTAGACGATATTGTCCCTGGATCCTCTTCTTCCTCCTTCGAGCGCAAGAAAGCTCGCCGGCGACGATCGCACGCCATGGCGAGCAACAAGGTGGAGCCGTGGAGGTGGTACAACTGTTGTCTCCCAAGATCCACACCATTCCCATCCCCAAATAAAGCAAGCAGCCCCACACCATTCCCATCCGCAAATAAAGCAGAGCACTGGTGGTGGCTCCGACGAGCTAGCGCGTGATGTGAGTGCGCGGGCGGCGGCGGGGGATCCTTGACGCGATGACGCGAGCACCAGGCTTCTGCAGCAATGGTTCCTTAGTATGATGATGTGAGTAGTAGGCCCCGGCGGTTGCTCGACGCGAGCAATAGGCGAAGGCGCTGGTAGCGGCTGGTCAGCGCGACGAGCATCAGGTGGCGGCGGTGGCGATTCCTGTATGCAATAAAACGAGCAACAAGCGTAGGCGGCCGTTCCTCGTTGGGGCATCATAGAAGGTAACCGGAGGAAAAGTTTTGCATCATCCGGCTGAATTGATTTTTTTGTCATCCCTGAGATTGATTCCTCTTTCGCTGGAATCAATTTCCATTGATTCATGCCATGTAATTTGCATTCATCACTGCTGATTGAGACGGTGACAACTTGGATGATTTTGCCATTTTTTTCATTGCTGGTGCGGTGGTGCCCACGACGTGCAGTCGTTGCCGTCGAGCTTCTTCGGCGCACGAAGGAGAAAGAAGAGGAGCTAGGGGCAATATTATCTAGAAGGGCATTCCAGCGAAGTTATTTGTATTGAGTGTGGTATTTTTTCGAAGTCCACTTAAGTGATGGTATTATAGCGAAACCAATCTTTTGTGATGGTAGATATGCAATTTTCTCCCTCGCCTGGTATCGCTGCTGCTCTGGTTGTCTCTCGTCCTGAGTCTCCGACTGAGCGCCTCCAATCTCAACAGCCACCTCCCACCTGTTCCGGCTCCGGCTAGACCTCGCCGCCGGCGATCCCCAGCCTCAGCGCATCCAACCGACGGAAGAACACAAGGCGCCGCACCGCACCGCAGCGATGACGCTGATCACCCTCATCCGCGACTACATCGATCGCATGCTCCACGACATCCCCGGGATGAAGGTCCTCGTCCTCGACCCCGATACCGTATGCGCTCCCTCGAACCCTAGCCTCTTCTCCCCTGCGGGGATGGGATCCGATCACCCCCTGACCAGATCCGTGCTGTTCGTTCCAGGTGGGGATGGTAAGCGTGGTGTACAGCCAGTCAGATCTCCTCCGGAAGGAGGTGTTCCTCGTGGAGACGGTCGACAACGCCTCCAGCTCCAGGGAGTCCATGGCGCACCTCAAGGCCGTCTACTTCCTCCGCCCCTCCTCCGATAACGTCCAGAAGCTCCGCCGGCATCTCGCCGCCCCGCGTTTCGCCGAGTACCACCTCTGTGCGTAATCCCCCTACATTTACCCGTACCTATATGTTTTTTTTGAGTGAAATACATGGCTGGTCCCTTGAGTGGTGTCACTTAGTTTCATGAACTTGACAATTGTACGTTTAGATCCGTGAACTTGGTTTAATGTACCACCCTGGTCCAAACATCTTTTGACTACGTTTGACCGCCAACGTGGTATGCCACTTAGGCAACACTTTTGCTCTCAGCCCCCTCCACATCACAACATGTCGCATATATCTCCTTGTAGCTATATAGACACCAGAATCCCAAAAAAAAACCTCAAATCGTTCTTCCCTCTCATTCTTCTCCCTGCATGTACAGAAAATGTGGTCCCGATTAGCAATTGCCGTTGCTCTGCGCTCCAAAATGACCTTATCCTTGCACAACGGGCACTTAATCAACAACACCTTCTTCCGGCGACTTCAAGACAAGGACAAGCTTGGAGAATCCATGGGGATACCTAGCGTGCAAGCCGCATTGAGCTACCTCCCGCTGCTAATCCAACCGCACTGTGCCACCGCTAACCCCGCTGCACTGCGCTGTCTCCTGCCGCTAATCTCACCGCCGAGGCCGCCACAACTGCTACCTCTCAGCCTCCTTCTGCTAACCTCACCGTCGAAACCCTAGCTGATTTAGGGATATTTTGGGGGATTTGGGTTGAAACGCACTGGTCAGGGCAAGTTATGTGTGAACGTATATGTGGAGGGGGCTAAGCACAAAAGTGTTGTATACGTGGCATGCCACATTGGCGGTCAAACATGGTCAAAGGATGATTGGACCGGGAGTGGTACATTAAACCAAATTCACGGATCTAAACGTGCAATTTTCAAGTTCACGGACCTAAGTGACACCACCCTACAAATTTAAGGACCGGCCATGTATTTCACTCTTTTTTTTTCTTTCTTGCATTTCTGTGCGTAATCACCCTCTTGCTTGATTTCTTGTATGAGTTTCTTAAGACTTAAGTTAGGTTGAGAGGTGCAGACAATTTGGTAGACAGACTAGTTGTTACGTGATCAAACCCAACTTGACCACCACCTCCTCTTCGCTGGTTGAAACTCTGCTAATTGAATCTTAGATGCTTTTGTGTGGTCATTCTCCAAGTTATGTGCGTGTAGGTGTTAGGATTTCATAATCTCTAGTTTCATTCTATGTTGGGGTTTAATGGTGTGCAAATGTAATGTTTTGTGTAGTGTTTTTTTTTTATTTGTTTGTTGATTGATTGTCTGCAGTCTTCTCCAATGTATTGAAGATTCCACAGATTCAGGTGCTCGCAGATTCCGATGAGCAGGAGGTTGTGCAGCAAGTTCAGGTATATGATATATATGGTATTATATGCTTATTGCAACGAACTTTTTGTGAGTAGAGTGAGGAGATGGGATTTTTATATTAATGTTTTGCTCTCTTATTCCAGGAGTTCTATGCTGATTTTTGTGCCATCGACCCTTACCATTTCACGCTGAACATACGCAATAACCACGTCTACATGCTTCCAATGGTGGTGGATCCTCCTGGTATGCAGAGTTTCTGTGATCGGGCTGTTGATGGCATTGCTTCTGTCTTCCTGGCTCTCAAGCGCCGTCCTGTTATTAGATACCAAAGGACATCTGATGTTGCAAAAAGGATTGCACAAGAAACTGCGGTGAGTCTATTGCCCCTGTAAAATATGTCTATTTGGATCCTATGAACATATAAATTGATACTGATAACTTTTTTATATTGTGTTTATTTTTAGAGAGAATTGTATGCATGCCAGACTAAAAAAAATATTTGGAATGCCACTCTAAACCTTAAACATTTCTGTTTTGTTACTTCGGCATATTTTTTGGTGTTAACTCAAAAAATAGGTACAATGTCCCTTGACACAATGTCAATTATTCCCTGGCATTTAAACACAATCTTCTCTTTCTATCTCTCATCTCATGACTAGCTGTTCTTAGCTGCTTTCTATGGCACAATCCTGGAGCACTTCCAGCCTCCTGATTGAATTTTCATCAGTCGCTAGGCTTATCTTCTACTACCTCCGTCTTGAAATATAAGGGATCTTGGCAACGGACGCGGACAAGCTTGTCCAGGTGCGTTGCCAAAATCCCTTATATTTTGGGAGGTAGTAGTTACAAAGTTATCTTTAGAGATCATTTGTTAGGCCAGCTTCTCCTATAAAGAACGTACATCACCCACTTTGGAAATCATGCAGTCTTTACAAAATACTTCTACCTGTCCCTCATGTCAGCAATTCTTCCTGCCTAATCTCTCTTCTACCTGCCTCCTGTTCCCATTCATTTTACTATCAAATTCTTATGTCCTACCCAGGTACTCTTCTAGACTTCTACTATCCAAGCGCATAACACCAACTTATTATGCCTAATTAGATAAGTTATCCAAAATGTTCCAATAATAAGGATCATATTCTATCAGTCAAACTGCTAACTATTCAAAATAGCCACTAATATCGAACTTGCCCTGAATCACTTACATTCTGGGTCCTGCAGAGATTGATGTATGAGCAGGAAAGTGGCTTGTTTGATTTTAGACGAACTGAGAACTCTTCCTTGTTGCTGGTGATTGACAGAAGGGATGATCCTGTTACCCCGTTACTTAACCAATGGACATATCAGGTATCATAAAGGAAATAAACACCGTTATTTTTCATATTTCAGTTGTACCTGTGTTAACTTTCTTGCAATTTTGCATACACAGGCAATGGTTCATGAACTTATTGGAATTGAGAACAATAAAGTTGATCTAAGGGAATATCCTAATGTCCCTAAAGACCAGAAGGTCTATCAAAATGTTGAATTTATGTTCATATTGTGATAACATGCATCTTTTTTTGAATGTTGATCCATCTGAAACATACTTACACAGGAGGTGGTTCTATCATCAGTTCAGGATGAATTTTTTAGGGCTAACATGTTCGAGAATTTTGGTGATCTTGGTATGAATATCAAAAGAATGGTAGATGACTTTCAACATCTTTCGAAGACCAGCCAGAATATTCAGAGCATAAGTAAGAAACTTTTGCCTTTCTTGTTTCCTACGAAAGAAAGGAAAAAACAATTATGTCACTGGAAAGTAGGCAGTGCAGATTTGCCTTTGCTGTCACTGACATGTAGTCCCAGGACTCATGTGAGTCACACATACAATGGAGAATAAGTGAATCCCCCTGAAAGTAATGTTTAAGCTAGCCACCCTTCTTTATATTGTTACATTTGGCAACCTCATGCTTCCAATTTTTACTTTTCACTAGCATTCGTAATACATACTTACATATGTTTATTTTGGACCACTTCAGCTAATTTTGTTTCTCTTGCCAATGCTGCTAAAATTCCATTTCTTATCATGTTAGGTTTTGGTTCTGTATATTTTTGTGTATATGTGATGTGCATAGTTGGGGTAAGGGCCTTTAGACCTATTCGAGGTGTCGTTGGACCCAAGTAGCGCAATGGTGCCGTTGAGGCTGCCGTGCCACAAGGGCAGGGAAGAAGAGGAAGAGTCTAAAGCCTAGTGGCTCCGTTTGATATAGATTATTGCAGCAGATTATCGATTTAATTATAGGGATACATTAAATATAATAAGAAATAAACTTAACAAATAGCTCAAAACAAGTGGTCCAAGCGATGAAATAGAAGAAAGTTTTTTTTTTTTTTGAGAACGTATTTTTCGAAGCATGGAGCAAATAACCCACTTCAGTAATCTGGTGAATAAGTTCAATAGAACATGGAGTTCATTTCTTGCTTAAGATACTATCCCATCCTCATGGGATGAGTGATGACTTGACTCTTAAGAAACATATCACTGAGATTAAGGAAATAGCTAAGTAAATCTCATCCTATCTAGTTTAAACACCTGCCTGTGCCATGTACAGTACCACGCGTGAACAGTAGCCTCGTGTGTACTGTTTACGGTGGAGTACCACTAGCCCTAGGGAGGCTGATTGCTCTTTTGTCCCTAATGGGCTGCACATGCAGTATAAGTACATATCTCTGAGCAGTGGCGGAGCCAGGGCCAGTTGCCTGGGCTCCGCCGGCTGCACGTAGCCATTCCCCAGTAGATTACACCTAATTTCCTTGCTAATCGTCTTTCTTAGTCACCGTATGAACTGAAGCAGCAGCAATATATATAGTTTACATACTTAATTAACGTGCTTAGCGCAAACTAGCAAAGCAAATTCTTACAAAATGATATATGGATTTGAATAGAATTGTGTGGACTATATTTGTTGTTAGGCTTGCCCAGGCTCATAAAAATTTCTGGATCCACCACTGTCCCTGAGTGAGTATTGACCTTTATGTGTTCTTTCCTATTTTTGTATTTTATGTCTTTCACCAATTTAGATTTTAAAAAGTAAATTTCACAAAATCCCAGGTATTATGGTTAAGGTTGTATAAAATCTATGTACCACATACCAAAACCTATGTGGTTTTGTGCAACATGAACCATAATTAATACCTAGGGTTCCGTGATATTTAATTGATTTTAATGCATGTGCATTGTTGTCATGGCAAGCTGATGACCGTGATTGGGCTGTGTGCACTTGGATTGAAGTGTTGAATGGGTTGCTGACGATGCTTGCAAGCTGGTCCTAGGAAGAAGCATTCATGAGTAGGCCTGCTAATGGTTTGGGTAGGAATGGGTTTATGCGTCAATTTTAAATTTTTGCTGGGGTGGTTTGGGTGAAGCTGGAAATTGTTTGGTAGTGGTTTTGTCTTGGTCGCTAATTTTCAGGCCCAATACAGTTTCATAAATCCATGGGGACATGTGGTTTCAGGTTGGCAGCCTTGATCAGACTCCTGGACCTTGCTGCCATCCTCCTGGGGATTTTGTTGTCCTGAGTTATCAGTATCACTTGTGGTTACGGGCCTCCATCGCTGATTTTGTGCCCCTAGACAGCTTAGAGGGAGAGGGAGGGAGAACTCCAAATCCACTTCTTCTCCATCTATGTCGACCACTGGAGCCCGCCTGCCGGCACTTCTGGGCCCAATGCACCGCTGTTGCTGTCTTATCCACCTGTGCCTTCACCATTGGTGGCCCTGTTGGCTTGGCTTCCTAACTCATACTCATTAGACACTGCCAACACGATTTGGTTCCAAATTCCACCGACATCCTTGGGCAGTGCCCCAACAGGTAGGGGCTCGCTGTCGTCCTTGACCAGTCGATATAGAGCTGCCACTCACAGTTGACGTTGCTGCTGCTGGTTTCCCTCTATCGCCATAGACAGTTCTTGTCCTCCTTTCCACCTCAGCAGCAGTGGCTGGATCTGGTTGTCTTGCACGTGGTGGCGAGACCATGGCCGATGGTCACAGATCAGGTTATTGGTGGCAAATGGGCCAAATGGCCAAATGGGCTGAGTGTTTAAGGTGGATTTAGAGTGAGCTGAAATGGTCTGGGAAAGTGGATTCTAAACTCATATAGGAGGAAAATGGGCTGGTTCAGTTTGGGCTCAGGTGGAAAATGGGTTGGTCTAGTCTGGATCCTGAGAATCAGTCAATGGTTGGGGTCGTTTGGACTACTGTAGCTAAGTTGTGTTTTGGGTGGGGATCCAGGTGAGTTTCAAACACCATTAACCTATTATAACTGGATTTGAACATCCTACAAGGCAATTGCTAATTGAGTTAACATATCACCTATGAATATGGCGACCAAAATGAGGGGAATTAAAGGGCCGGTGGGGGGGGGTGTTAAATAAAAGGGTGAAATTTACTCTCACAAAACTACATATACCTTTACGAAACTGTCACAAAACAACAGATTTAGGACCAAACTTACCAAAGAATTATGGATTTAAGATGGAAGATCACCAAACTACAGATTTAGTAATAAAATTATCACAAAACTACATGTTCTGCATCATGTTAAATACAAAACTACAACATTTAGTTTTGTGATAACTCTAATATTATATCTATAGTTTTGTGATTGGCCTTAAATCTGTAGTTTTGAGATACGACGTCTTAAATATGTAGTTTTGTGATAATTTGGTCAAAGTACCTGTAGTAAATATTATGTTACCAGCCTGCCATTTTTGTTTGATGGTGGTGTTCATCTCTAAAAGTCTGATTTACTAATGGTTTTAGGTGATATGTCAAAATTTCTGAGCAACTACCCTGAATATCGGAAGACTCATGGAAATGTAACGAAGCATGTTGCTTTGGTCAGTGAGATGAGCAGAATTGTGGAGGAAAGGAAGATTATGCTAATTTCCCAGACGGAGCAAGAGTTAGCATGTACAAGTGGACAAGCAGCTGCTTTCGAGGTATTGGTATAATGAACATGAAATATATCATGGTGCCGTGGACACATTGTTCTTATAAAATATCATATATGTTCAATATCCTCACCACCAAAGATATTCCCTCCCGAGGTTTTTCATTTTCAATCAAATTTATCTGCTGCTAGAGTTCACTTAAGTTCTTTATTTATGCCAGTGCAATTTCCAAAATGGGAATTACACCTATACCATAGTTCTTTAGCTTATACACACTAAAAAACTGTGGCACGGATGATCTTCCAAAATATATTTACAACTTGACTCATGCTTTTTTTTTTATTATCAAAAGACAGTGGGGGAGGCACCCACGGTATATATTATAAAAGAATAAAGTATTTACAGGGAAGACAAAAAGAGTGGAAAGAAAAAGACTAAAGACTTAAATTACAGCTGATCAATCCATGATTGAACTAAAGGCCTGTTAATCTCTTTGAGTCTAATTAAATGTAGACTCAATTGACTCATGCTTTTGGATTGAATATCTTATTGAATGGGCTGTGTGCATTGGAAAATGTGTTGTTTTCTACATAGCTTAAGAGTTATGCAGCTTTCTTTGCTTTATTTGCCACCATTAGCTGCATGAATCAAAGCAGCACGTCCCCTTACAGTTTTTCATCTGTCCTTACATCACCTCTCATTGTTTATCTCATCTGATTTGATGCTAGTAAAATGTATAAGTGGTCTGTTCCACGTTTTTGGTTCACCTGTTGATTTTCTGCAGGCTGTCACTTCCTTGCTAAACAATGAAAGTGTGTCTGATATTGATCGTTTACGGTTAGTATTGCTCTATGCTTTGAGGTATGAAAAGGAGAGTCCGGTTCAGTTGATGCAGCTTTTCAATAAATTGGCTTCTCGTTCTGCTAAATACAAGTCAGGGGTATGAACCTTTAACTAGTGACAGATCATGTTCTTATCTAAGCGTTCTTCTATTTTATATGTTGTTTTGATGTTCATCTTCTTTGTAATTATTTTTAGTGGAAGGTTTTTGCTTTCACAGTTTGAACCATAAACAATTGCAGTCTTGACATCACTGTTACGTGCCTTCAGCACATAGTAACTATCTCTTTTGTGCAAATCATGGACTTCCCTTGTTGTGAACTATGAGGTCTTCTAAAAAGCATCCTTGATTTCATTTGATGTACTGGGAGCACTGATTCACTGTTTGATAAGTCTACTGCCTTGGCTTGAATATTTTAAAAATTAGACTACAATTTATTTGGAATCCTAGTGTTTTTAACCAGGTTTAGTTATCATTTTTTTCTTTGGTTACTAAGTACTCCCTTCATCCCAAAATATAGCAACTTCTAGCATTCAAAATTTGTCCCAGAATATAATAAACTTCTCCACCTACTAGCTCATCTGAACCAATCACAACCATCTCATTTAATTTCTCCACCCACTTCTTCTCAACCAATCACCCTTTTCCAATTTAATTCTATCTACTTCCTTAATACCTGTGGCTAACTCCAGAAATTCTTATATTTTTTGACCGAGGGAGTATTTTGCTACCAGTTTTGAACAAAATAGGTAATATATTTTACTAAGTTTTTGAGCAGGCTTTCCACTTGGTACACTATGTGAATTAAACTTGTCGTGCTAGTGTAAAATGGACACAGGGGCCTCTTCAGGTGGCTGCCTGTTATTATCGGAGACAAAATACCTAGCCATATTGTACTGATGGTTTTTGACTGATGACTTATTCTAATTTTGCATGCAGCTGGTTCAATTCCTCCTCAAACAGGCTGGTGTTGATAAGAGAACAGGTGACTTATATGGGAACCGTGATCTATTAAATATTGCTCGCAACATGGCTCGTGGACTCAAGGTTAGACAAAAAAGTCTTCCTTCGCACTTGTGGTACATGTAATGTGGCTTATTTCTTATGCACTTATTGGTTGCAGGGCGTTGAGAATGTATACACCCAACATCAGCCTCTTCTCTTTCAGACCATGGAAGGAATTGTAAAGGCACGATTACGAGATGCTGATTATCCGCTTGTTGGCAATCATTTCCAGCAGAACAGGTTAGTCCTAGGATATGCACGATTGTGAAACTAAATTCTTTAATCAGACTTTGTTTTACTGAATGGACTTGAATCCTGCCACCCTGAAGTAACATTTTATTTTCCGTTCAATTTTCTGAATTCTGATCCACATTCTTTTGTTGTCAGCATGGTTTACTTCTAAATGTGGAGTAATTTTTAGGAGTACTGGCTGATTGATACTCTCCTCACAGGCCTCAAGATGTTGTGCTGTTCATTGTTGGAGGGACGACTTACGAGGAAGCAAGATCAGTAGCCCTTTACAATGCAGCAAATCCTGGAGTTCGGTTCTTTCTTGGTGGTTCAGTGGTTCTAAATTCAAAGAGGTATATTCATTGCAATTCTTCCCATTTGCATAGAGTGGGATATGTTGCATCAGTTTTTGCTGATTTGATATTGTGCAATAACTCTGAATTGATTTTTAACATCTGGTTTCACCGTCAAATTGCAGATTTCTTGATGACTTAGGAGAGGCACAGAGAATATCGAAATCGAGCAGTCTAGTATGAGCAGGCTCTTAGCTTCTACAGCTTGAAACTTGGCAGTCTGACAATTGAAACTTGTGGTGTTTTTGCATAGAGAATCAACTTCGTGGTAAATTTTGTAATGCACAGCTTTAGATTCATAGTGCAACACACCATACGGAATAAAATTGTTCACAGTTCACCTAAAAACACATTTTTTGTGGTTTGCAATTATTGCTGCATATAGGGCGCTCCGGGTGAAATTAATATTTAACGCAGTTTAGTTCAATGTCCTGGGAGAATCAACATTCAAGTCGCGCATTTTGTTGATATTTTGTCAAATTTTAGCATTTTGTTGTCCAGAACCAACTTAATTATCTATTACTCTAATAGTCTTATGACCAGATATATAGTGGCTAATGTGGTAAATTTTAGCTGTCTTTAGATGTGAAAAAAAATTGCCTCACTTATATAGCAACGTATCAGGTGAACTCAGCCGTGCACACATGCACACGCTAGAACAATCCAACTTTCGAAAGAAGTATAAACAGTGCTCAAAATTGAAATTTCATCAGCGAACAGACAAATATCAAAAGAGTGAAATTGTACACGTAATGCTGCCAATTGATAGCATGCATGTGCCATCTTGAATCGTCGATGGAATTTGACATACCTAGAAAAGGTAGTAGAAGATGATGAGGTCCTGGATGGCTGGATGTTCTTGTTGGGAAAGACGCAGTGGCTGGATGGTGAGCTTCCCCGAAGTGGCCAAGAAAAAAGGCTGGTCTCTCGGCCTTTTACACCCCAACCGAGTGAGGCCTCAAAGGGTACTTGGATAATTGACAAACATAATAGTTGAACTAGCAAGCAATAATGCTCCTGCGTTGCACTGGGAAAAAAGGTTGATGGAAGAGAGAAAGAGAGTGCATTGTCAATAAAAGCAGAGCAAGGCAGCTATGTGAAAAGTGAAAGATAACGAAAACAAAATACGCACAGATGACCAAGATAGAAAGTGTGTACGGTGACGATTGAAAAAATGTATGAATTTTTAAAGTAGATAATCCCTCCTAATATATGACACCGTTGGCTTTTTATATATATTCGACCCTTTTGTTTTATTTAAAAAATATGTAATTTCCATTTATTTTGTTATAAATTTATATAACGATGTCATATATTAAAACCGGGGAGGGAGTATTAAAACCAGGGAGAGTATGTTTCAATATATAAGAATATACAGGGATATGGAAGAGATAGATATTTAACCCTTCCATACCAGAAGCCACGACATTACTACCAAAACGATTTGTTTTTCCTGACGGACTACAAAACCTTGCTCAAAAAATTAAAATGAAACCCTAAACATCTAGCCCTGCCAGTAAAAACCGATTTTTACAGATTCTTATTGACGGGGTTTCAAGAGCGCCACTTGTAAAAATAGAGGTATTTTTACGAGTGACGCTCTTTAAGACTCCACGTAAAAATTCGGGGTTTAAGCCAGAAAAGAAAATCGTCGAAGGCAATGCACAAACTATCTCAACACCCTTCCTTTTTTTCTCACAACTCCCACCTACCTCTCCCTCGTACTCAGATCTAGCTCTCCTCTCCACCACTCCCTCAACCTCTCCTCCCTCTCTCGGTTCGACGGAAGGGGTGACGGTAGCAACAAGGGGAGCCGTGGGCAGAGTTCCTCCAACAGCTAGCGGCGGTGGAGCTTGGGTCGCAGGCAGCGGTACCGAAGACATAGCTCGGGCGGTGGGGGTCAAGCCACAGGAGGTGGAGTTCAGTCGCGGGCTGCGGGCTGCGGGGCGGCATATCTGGTGTCGGTTCGGGGCGGGGGCGGTGGATCCGATGGCGATGGTGACCTAGGGTGCAAATCCGATAGCCAATGCCATCGTATATGCATGTATCGTGTATAATAAGGATGGGTAAATTTCATAATAGGCTCATCAATTATCCTAATCCAATACATCAATCAATTATTCCGTATACGCATCAACTAAACATCGAATGCAAGACTTGAAGCCCATCAAGTGTACAAAGAAATTAGCTGGCCGAACGATCTATTCATCGAGGCGATTGGAAAAGGAAGGAGATGGATGGAAAACATGATAATAGTGGCACGGTTTCAATTTTATAAAATTTCTAGTGGCACGGCTACGAATATATGAATTGTAATAGAAAAAATATATAAACTAAAATTGTACCAAATATATAAACTTTAGATGATTAGGGTTTAGTTTTTCATGATATAAGCCCTTTAAGAAAACATATTCTTCACATAGATTGTTCGAAAATAGATTTTTTATCTACATGCTTTAACACACTAAGATTTTCTGGAAGAATTCTCTCATATTGAAATGATTCTAGTGATATAACATCCATTATCTACATGACTACATGTTTTCACTTGTCCATCGTCATTTTGCCATATTGACTGCGATCGAGAAGAAAAGAAAAGGCGAGAAAGTTAATTCAAGATATAGAGCTAGCATGGATGGTATAATGGTCGAGTAAAGCGATGGAGTAAAAGAAAAGAGGGTGGTCGCTCAATGGTGCTTGGATATCGCGACATTCCAAACCTTAGGTAGAGAGGCAAGAGAGGAGTAGAGGGCCGAGTAGAACACAATCAGAATTAAACGTGGAAACAACGATGAATCAAATCCTACGTGTCTCAAATTGGAATATAGTTTTACATCAAAACTTGACATGAACTGTGTGTCGCGTGGGAACACGGTCTTGTCGAGACAATCAAATCTAATCAACCCAAACTTTGACAATAGAAGGCCTTAAACTGTAAGCATGAGTTTCGAGACGGTGAAGAATGCTGCCTAATGGCATGAGGAATGGAGACCAGAACACTCGTTGCTTAGAGAGATACTACTCTACAATGCAGAGTTGCTTTGGATGGGACATGATGATTTAGCATTTTAGCCCTTTGTATTTTTTAAATCAGTCTATAAACTTTACTAAAATATGCTCTTCCTAAATAAAAATGCAAAATAGCTCTAGCATTAGAAAAATTTACATTCATAGCCTTGGCCCACCTCTAAGCCACACAGGACATTATCCCAGTCTCCAGCTACCCTTCCTTCCAGATGCATGCATCCCAACTTCCCCAAATATACAAGTTCCTGGTTCGAAAAAGAAAAGAAAAAACTAGGCCCCCACAAATCGATGCCGCATCTCTCCGTCCGCTCCCAGAAATCAACGCCACCACTGCTGACCCCCCCAACCTCCCCACCAGCGGCTTTCCCCTCGACCTCCCCCACCCCCAACCCTACCGGCAGCGCCGGTGCTCCCGCTCCCTCTCCCCCTCCGCCACGGCCCACGGCGCCCTCGCATGGGCCTTCCCCGGCGAGCGGCACCTCAGCCACGGTGCCCTCCCCACGCACCGGCGGCTTTCCCCCTCCCTTCTCCCACCCCCACCGGCAGTGTCGCTGCTCCCGCTGCCATGGCTCACGGCGCCCTCGCAACGGCGCCTTCCCTGGCAAGCAGCGCCCTACCCTTGGTGGTTAGCGCCTCAGCCGCCGCGCCCTCTACTCGGCTAGCAGAGCTCCTTCCCTGGTGGGTGGCGTCCTCTCCTCAGCTGCTTCACCCTCTTCTCCGGAAGCGGCTTGGTGGTAGCACCCTCCTTGTGGCACATGGCGGTGCGCCCGCCAAGCCGCCATGGCCTTAGGGAAGCGGTGTGCTTGGCCTCTGATGAGCAGTGACCTGGGTGATTTAGTTGTTTTATAATTTTTGGGGATGATTTTTGTTAGAAGTACAGATATGTTAGTTATAGATAAGAGTCAAATACAAATATAGAGATAAGATATATCCTAGAGATAAAATAGAGTCCTAAAGATAGAATCCTAGAGATAAATCTACTCTTACTTGTATTGTACTCCAAGCATCCTTCGTGATGCCACCCATCATCCTTCGTGATGCCCTAGCGAGATGAGATGAATCCGTAAGCTCTCCTTGGGCAACACATTAGCTAGCTATCCTCTCCTATCATCTATATATTAGATTATCCACCGATCTCATTAGATATATTTTCCATTAATTAGTAATAGATTAGATCAATTCCTTCATTAGCCACGTAAAAGCCAATATCAGTACTGTCGTGTCGCCCGGGAGCAGCGCTGGAGCCTTGGAGATCAACAACAAGCAGCAACGGCAACACCATCCAATCAGCTCCGAGCATGTACATCTACTGATCTACTCCAAGACCAACGTCATCCATCGATCATCACCAAGTCTACGGCAAGATCGAGCCAGCTGCTACATCGATAAATGACTACGTGATCATCTTCGCCGATCCTACATCACTAGTTATCTTCATCAACTTGCTGCCGCCGACTCGTCCACGTAGATGGACACGTCACCTCCTCTGACAGATTAATCTGCAAGACGGTTCATCGACGACGACATCGACCGCGTCATCGACTACGGCATCGATCATGTTATCTACAACGACAACAACTGCATCAACATGGCATCACCATTGTGATGACCGCTACACATGTCATAAATATGTTTTTTCGCCTTCGGCTATATGCGGCTACACCTACAACCACGGCTACTACATGATCAGCTACATCGACGAATGTCTACAACAACAATCATTGACGGAAACTCTAGTCAAAGCGTACGTGTCATCGCTATCATCTATGACACTCCCGCTATAACTGCGAGAGGGAATAGAGGAGAGTCCATCAGAGATCCAATCAATGATGGTGAGTCGAACAAGATGAAGAAATAGAAGATTTCAAATCCAGTTGCAATTGTTCGCTTCACTCCGGTTACAACTGAGGGGGAATGTTAGAAGTATAGATATGTTAGTTAGAGATAAGAGTCAAATACAAATATATAGATAAGATGTATCCTAGAGATAGAATCCTAGAGATAAATCTACTTTTACTTGTATTGTACTCTAAGTTTCTATCTCCTATGTACTCCTATATGTATTCTATGAGAGGGTCGATCTAATAGATCAGAAAACATCAGAATACAACAATTAGAATTTTCACAAATTTGATTCATTGTTGTTGGATTTGTGATTTTGTGATTTAGTTTCTCTCGTTTCCGTGCGGAGTTCTCGGCTCATGTGGATCGGATTTGATCTCCTGTACGGACGGGAGCGACGTGGAGGTGAATCAGTGATGAATCGGCTACGAATTCGTGGGTGGTTTATTGGTTTTTTTTTTTGCAATTTCTTTCTATCGGTAACTAAATCGGATTGTGGTAGGACATACATGACGAAAACGCGGAAACAAAGAGAGGTGACGAAAGGAAAGTTACAAATTTTTTAATTAGCTAAGGTTAAGACTAGAAAAAAAAGCCTATATGTTGCAATGGGTTAAAG